GGGGCGATATGCTGACTCTGTAAACCGCTTAGAGAGGGCTGAAAGCCCTATGAAGCGGTATATAAGTCTAACTGCTATTGCTATTGCTATGTTGTGAGATCAAAACGCACCCAAAATTTAACAGCAGAGATGCCAGGAGACAAGAGTTTTAGTTTAGAACAACTCAGATGTCTCAACAAAAGCTGACTTGTCCAGAGGAAGGCTTAAGTTCCTCCTTTTTTGACTCCGGCTCGCAAGCATCTCCTTCCTGTGAGTGGGTGGGGAGGCTAAATCTGGAAACCACGCCGATGCAATCCTTCCCCTCTTCAACTCATGGAGAAAAGAGTGATTCTGGGGAAGGGAAAGACTTTACTTGCAACTGGGTGTAAATTAAGGGCAAGCTCTCTCGAGTCCAAAGAAAGTGTGTGTTAGGCCTACAGACCAGATCAAGAAACCAATGGCATGTAGTTCAGGGTGACTTTGATTGTAATAGCCGTAGTGGAAGGATCTTGCAAACCCAAATGTGTGTCTCTCTTCTTCGCTTTAAGTTTGTGTGAATCGGGGCGGGACTTGTTTTCTCACGTTCTTGTCTTGGCCTGGGCTCAAGCCACGCTTATCTAATCCTGGCCATGGGAGCAACTTTTCTTCCTGTCTTTTAAGGCCTTTCCCCCCCATGTCTGCTAAAGCAGGGGTCCCCAACCTGGAGAACTTTACGACTTGTCGTAGTATTGTAGTATTCCTCACTGAGGAATTCTGGGAGTTGAAATCCACAATCCATCAAGTGGCTGGCTGAGGAATTCTGGGAGTTGAAGTCCCACAAGTCGTAAAGATACCAGGTTGGAGATCCCTGCTCTAAAGCAGAGATCGGAAACCCGTGGCTCTGGAGCCGCATGTGGCTCTTTCATCCCCCTGCTGCGGCTCTCTGTCGCCAGTTGGCTACACAATTGATAGGGCTTTCGGTTAGGACAGGTAGAGGAAAATAGCAATAGCACTTAGACTTATATACCGCTTCATAGGGCTTTCAGCCCTCTCTAAGCGGTTTACAGAGTCAGCATATCGCCCCCACAGTCTGG